TCCTGTTGGATCGTGTTGGTTGCCCTCAAATCATCCAGAGGAAGGAGTTCAAGCAGGCCCGGGCATATTCGTGCTCATTTAGACAGGGATACTCGGGTGCAAATTAATCCCAATTAACCAACGGCATGAATTCCAAGTGGATTAAGCTGCGCTGGCCTGTGGATGCTCTTGCTCGGAATTAAAGTGCCCTTAATTTGATTGTTTACTTCAAAGCTAAATTAAATGAAGCCTGCTCGTAATTCTGGGGGAAATGTGTCCGCGTGGGGATTCAATTCAGTTTATCTCTCCAAATCTTATTCCGATTAACTGCCCTGAGCATCCACATGGAAAGAAGCCTCCGGGGAGCGGGATACTCCGGGGAATAAAGAGGGCGGATCTGCTCTGCCAGCGTGTCTCAGGTTTGCACCAAGGTTCAGCTCCCTACATAACAAGGGGAGAAACACAGGGCTGTGCTATGAAATAAAATAAATCCCACTTTTAAGTGTTTTTTTTTCTTTTTTTTTTGAACTTATTTCCTTGCATCAAGGCAGCAAGGTTGGTGTTCTTGACTTCCAAGGCTCTGGTGTGAGTGTCCAAAGGGGTCCATGTACTCCCTTCTCCTCCTCTTCCCTGCTCTGTTATCCTTCCTCCGGGATATGAGGATCAAGCCATGGAAACGATGCCAGGATGCTAAATTCGAGGTCGGGAGAGCACCGTGCTCTGTGCAAGAACGTGCAACGCGCGCTAATGCGTGCCCAGAGGTTGCAGCTCTAAGAGAAACCCACAAAAAAAAGCCATTAAAATGCCAGAGTGAAGCACTTAAAAGCTGGAGATACTAGAGAAGAGGTCTCTGGTCACCCTCCGTTTGCCCTGTCATGTATATGTGTTTTGATATAGTCTTTACTTGCAGCCACGCTGTCCTCTCCGTGGAGCTCGGGTTCATTGCTCTGCATTTTGCTAGCCTGGCTTGATGTTTCTCCTCAGCTCTATTCAGGGAGCGGTTGATGTCCTCCCTGGTCTGTGGTGTCGATTGCTTTGGTATCTCCATGTCTCCCAAGCAGTAATTAACGTCCCTGGCTCTCAGAAGGGGCATTTCTCCGTTCTCCTAATGATCCGTCTGAGGCTCTGAGCCTAATGTGAAAATTACCCGGGTAAATTAAGCCATGGATGGCGGGAACCCAACAGGGCAAAGTTACGCGGCTTCCGTCTGCATTTCCAGGCAGATTTGGGAAGCAATTCCAGGTGCTTCTCCAGAGCACCGTGCTCATCCTGGTGGGATGGGCGAGAGGCAGGGAAGCACTGTTTGGATTTGGGAGCCTTGCTGCTGTGTTTTGCCTTTGATCTCCCTTTGGAGCCTAGGAGAGGCTGCCTCGGTGCAAGAAAAGCAGCCCTGCTATTTGTGTGTTAGAAATGAGCATAATCCTTTTAAAAAAAAGCTGGATTTTGCCAGCAAACGCTGCTGCACAGCGCTACCTGGTGGAGACGGCTCTTCAGGCAAAGGAAACCTCCCGAATTTGGTTTTATTGATGCTTTAAAATGGCTCTTTTCTTACTTGGTTAGCCTATTTTGGAAGCAGATGTCCACGTGGAGGGCTGTCAGGAGGAGGGGTAGGGTCTGGTTTGCTTCTTTTTCGGCTAAAAGGCTGCAAGGGGACCCTGCATTTGGGTCTCTGCTCTTTCCTTGTGCAGAAACTGGAGTCTTGGTGGTTTAATCGTGGCCCTGAGGTGAACACAGGGTGCAGGAAGGGGTGCTGCCAAACACCCTATGAAAGTGGGTGTCTGCAAGCAAGCCTGCAGCGGCCCTGGGCAGCAGAGCAGGTAGCGCAGCGCCTTGGGGCTGTCCAAAGGAGCAGATTGCACCAATATCTTGATTACTGCTCCTATTCCAACATTAATTAACTCCTAATAATGCTTCTGCAGGGCTGGGATCCCGCGCTGGGTGCCTGAGGCTGGGGCGGTCGGTGCCATTTGCTGGTCCAAGCTCGGTATCCCGCATGGGATCCTGCGGGAGAGGGAAGTCACGGCGCTTCCGTTGCTCACTTGGTTCGTTGGGTGTGTTTTTCTTCCTCATTTTATGAAGTGGTTCCTCCTCGCATAGAACTGGATGGCTAAGGAGCAGGAGAGGCCTTTGGGGAGCAATTCTGTGATGGATTTAGCACCTGAAATCCCACTTACCCATCCTGGATCTGCAGGGATTCCAGCTCCTCCGCTCCCGGCCGGTCCTTACCACGCTATTAATTAAGGAGGCAGAGGCACAAACGCAGGCGGACACAAAGGAGCAGTTTTTAACCTGGCTTAATTAACGCTGTCAAGTTGTACATCTGAGCGTGGGCTCAGTGGGGCTGTTGCTTTTGTTTAATACCACAAGACACTTCAGTCTGGATTGTTGCATTACAGTACAAATAAAAAAAAAAAAGAACGGAAACAAACCCACGTCTGCATCTTACAAGGTGAGGAGAAGTCTAAATATTTACAGAGGGGGAGTGGGGAAACCACAAAAAATATTTACATAAAAATACAGGAGCTTGTCGGCATATACATTTTACACCAGTTCAAAAAAAAAAAAAAAAAAAAAAAAAGGACACTATATAAATTAAAGAGAAGGGAACTCTGAGGGTAACCCAAGACTTTCTGGGACGCTTCTCTCATGCAGCTCAGGGAAAGAAGAAAAACTCAAGTCTTCTACAGCAGGAAAATGAACTGCAAAACTGCCCTTTTCTCCCCACCTTCCCATGACCTGGGCATTCCCTGGACAATGTCCCTTGGACAATGCCCCCCTGGACAAGGACCTGGGGCCCTCGGGGCGCTCTCGGCCTGAGGTTTGGGAGGAGCGACGTGTTTGGAAGGGGGTTTTGGTTCCTCTGAGGGACCCTCTCCATACGAGGACCACAAGACGGGGCTCTCTGGGAAGACATAGGCACGAAGTTGTGGGTGTTCAGTCATGTTCACATGGATTTCACCTGATGAGACTCCTAGTTAATTGTCAATTAATGCTTTAAGACTTCACAGGGACTCACCTAATGCCTGCGCTCCCCCTTCTCCAGCAAAGGTCTCCTACGTGTCCTGCTCCGAGGTGGAATATGGAACCCTGGAGGCGCTAGGGAACAACGCAGCTGGCAGCTTCAGGAAGCAGCAATTTGTAAATCACAGGTAGCTCCTGGCGAGGGTAAGGGAATTATTTAAGAGCATAAGACTGGTCACCTTGCAGGGGATGGGGTCAGGCAGCAGATGACTCAACCTGAGCAGAACTGGCCTTGTGGTCAACGCTGGTGCTTGCCTGGCTCTGCCCTCGCTCCTCTTCCTCGCGAAGGACCCACCTCCTGCTCTCCCTCTGCGTCACCCATCGGGGTTAATCGCCCGGTGCCACCTGCCCCCCTGGGCCGGGATTCCGGCTATCCTTGACTCCAGGGATGGGGAACCTGCCTGGCTATCGAGCATCGGCTTGACCACAGTGCAAGAGCAGAACTGCATAGTTCACTATATGGCTTTCGTGGGGTGGACGTGGGGGACCTGGACACCGAGAGACGGGGTGGGTTGTGTCACCTGCTGCCGTAGCCTGGTGGTGCCTGGGGGTAGGGGAGTTAGCTGGGGGGCTTGGGGTGACTTCATGGGTCCTGTTGTGCCCTGGGGTTGTGTCCTGGGGGGCACTTGGTGGCACGTGGGAGCTGAGGAGCCCCCAGGCTTGGGCAGCAGGAGGCTGGAAGGAAGAGGAATGAGCCGGGAATGGCTGGTGGCTTTGGGCAGGAACGGAGGCGTCTGCAGCGGGGGGGAGCCCCTGGGGAGGAAGATGGTCCTGGTTAACGTAAGGCCAAAACTGGGGCTGAGGAGGAGGAGGAGGAGGAGGATTCGCTGGGCAGCAGGAGGGGGCAGTTAAGGCTTTCGTGGAGAGAGAGGCTTCACCTCCAGCTCTCGTTACCTGAATCCCGAAGCGAACGCGCGGCCCTGGCTCTAGCGGCGGCCTCAGCAGGGACCGGGGGCAGACTGTGCTATGACGGGGGAGCCCTAAAATAAAACAAAAATGGGGAAAAAAACCCCAAACAAGCGCCGGGAAGCAGGTTTTCCTCACGCTTTCAAAGCCCCTAAATGGCCGTGAAGCTTTGGGTTCACGGGGGAGAAGCTCCCTGGGGCTCTCCGGGTTAATTCCAAGCAGGTGGAAAAAGGTCTCGGAGCACAGAGAAGAGGGAAGGGCCTTGGTGTTTCCCAGTGGACATTTCTGGCTCCTACGGGAGGCCAAGTGATTCCAGGGGCTCCTCCTCTGCGCCAGGCTGGGAGGCCGCGGTCGCCCCAGCTCCGGGCAGCGGGATGCGGCCGAGGGCACGTGGGGAAGGGAAATTGGGCTGGGAATTTGTGCTCGGCTTTAGGAGGTGGCTGTACCACTATGGTGAGGCTGTGGGGAGCAAGGGCAGCCACTTGTGACGGGATGTTGGGTGTAAGAGCTCGGCAGGAGAAGGGGGGAATTGGTGGGAAATGGGGGTGCTGCTCCCAGGGCCTTTTTACTCTCTTTGGGAATGAGGAAGCCTGCCTGACTTGGCTTCTCGAGAGAGCCTCGGGACGGAGGCGGTTTGGGCACCGCTTCCAAAGGCTCTTCCGCCACTCTGGATTCCTTAGGGAGGGAGGCAGGACCTCGGCATTCACCTAGGGGAAAAATCCTGGTGTCTTTCCGCCCAGCTCCTTCTGTGTAACCTCCAGGGGAGGCCGAGCAGAGGTTCCCCGCCGGGGGTGGCATGGGGACCCGTCCTTGGAAGCCCGTGGTGGGAACGGCCGTACGAGGCAGCTGGGGAAGGGAAATAATTCCTCTTTTCCTTCCCTGCTGCCTGTTTCTCTTCCCTGCTTATCTCCAAACCTCGCCGAGCGCCTCGGCCAGCTAAATTTCGCCTACATCAAAACACTGAGTGATGATGGCCTGGGAGGGACCCGCGTGGAGGGGTTCGCTTTGCTCCTTGGGGTGGGGACGTGTCTCTTTTTGTGTTTTTTTTTTTTTTTTTTTCTATTTTTTATCTGAAAAAATAAAACAGTCCGCTGTCCAGCAGAGGCTGCTTAGGCTCTATCCCCCGGGTCCCCCCGCGGCGCGCGGCCGCTCACTCGACGTGCACCTCGGCGTCGGGCCGCTGCAAGCACAGCTCGGCGGGCAGGAAGGCGCCCTGGCCCAGGGCCGTGGCGTAAGTCCGGCCGTGCGCGTGGGCGAAGGCCCTGGGGTGCTGCTCGGCGCCCTCGTAGTGGGCCAGCAGCGTCACGTGCCGCTTGCCCAGCGTCTGGTAGGGCGCGTAGAGCGGCGCCGAGTCCCTCTCGGCGGCCGGCGCGCGCAGGCTGTGGCTGCGCTCGGGCTTGGGCGGCGCCGCGTGCTCCTCGTAGCAGTCCCGCGAGTGCTTCTCCTTGGCGCTGTGGCGGAGGCTCTCGGCGGCCGCCGGGAGGTACTTGGCGGGCTCGGGCGCCGCCTTGGGCCGGTACTCGGCGTAGGGGCCGCCGTTCTTGGCGGGCTCGGGCGCCTCGTGCGCCTTGCGGCCGCGCGCGCCGCTCTGCTTCTGCGGCAGCGACGGCTTCTCGGGCTGCCCGTTGCCGAAGGCGCCCGGGTAGTGGCCCCGGTCGGGCTCCGGCTCGCCGGGCAGCGGTGCGTAGTAGCGCTCGTCGCCGTCGGGCGCCTTGGCCACGTACCTGCCCTCCTTGGCCTCGGCCACGGCGAGGAGGCCGCTCTTGCCCGGGTCCGACTTGCTGCGCAGGTGGACGACGTCGAGGCCGCCGGGCAGCTCCTCCATGGGTGGCAGCAGCGGCGCCACGTTGTCGTACTGCGACGTGACGGGGCCCTTGGCCTTCTGGCGCGCGCGGCTCTCGCGCCGCAGCGACTGCAGCCGGTACCTGTCCATGTCCTCCAGGTCCCACGAGGCGTACGGGGGCTTGGCGTCGGCGGCGGGCGGCACGTCGCGGCTCACGAAGCTGTGCTCCTTGCCCACGAGGTGCCCGCCGGCGCCGCGCGGGTAGGCGGGGAGGCCGGCGTAGCGGTAGAGGCCACGGCTGGGCAGGCGCGCCGGGTAGGAGGCGGCGTCGCGGCTGGGCAGGGGGTGCCAGGGCCGGGCCCGCATGGTGCTGTAGGGCTCCAGCTCGTAGAAAGCGCCGTCGGCGGCGGCGTAATAGGAGGAAGAGGAGGAGCTGGAGTAAGGGCTGTAGCGGTAATGCACGCGCCCGTTCTCGAAGTAGGGCTGCAGCTGCGTCACGTGGTAGTCGCAGTGGGGCGCGTAGGCTTTGTACTGGTAGAGGGGCCGCGGGCAGTAGAGGGGCTCGTCGTCCGGGGGCACCTCGGTGCGCGAGATGGGCACGGAGCGGATGGCGGCGGCGGGCGGAGGCGGCGGCGGCGCGTGCAGCGACTGCACCCTGCGGATGGAGGGGTACGGGGGCGCCTCGTCGGCGTAGGCAGCGCACGGCGGGGCGGCAGTGCGGCCGCGGGGCCGGGCGGCGAGGGTGCCGGCGCTCTTGCCTTGGCCCGTGTACGTGTGGTAGCGCGCGGGCGGCTCGGCCTGGGCCGCGTAGGCGTGCGGCGCGGCGCCCTCGGGCCGGTACTTGTGCGGCGCGTAGGCGGCGGGCACCTCGGCAGCGCTCTCGGGCTTGGCGTGCGGGATGTAGACGGGCTGCAGCGATGCCAGCTTGGGCGGTGGTGGCGGCGGCGGCGGCGCCTCGTCCAGCGCGGACGCCAGCAGGGCCTGGTAGCCGGCGGC